TTAAAAAAAAAAAAAAACACTAGTGTTCTCTGTTGTTTCAGTAGGAAATGTTTTTGCTGACTGCTAGAATGTAATCTTCTGAGGACAGGCCAGTTTGTCTTGCTCATCATTATCTCCCTAGTGCTGCACAGTACATGTCATTTAGAGGTGTCCAAATATTTGCTGAATGAGTGAGTAGACTGGTTCAAACAGTAGTATATCTTACTTCTGGAAGGCTTTTAAAGCCATTCTCATTTTTGTATATAGCAATAGTACATTCCTCTTTATTGTCAGGTAGTACTACATTATATGGATAAACCACAGTCCTTTTTATTCATTCACCAGTTGTTGATGGACATTTTCAGACTTTTTGGGAGAGAGGCTATTATAAATAAAGGTGCTATAAAGATTCACATACAAGTATTCGTGGAGCATATGTTTTCGTTTTTCTTGTATAAAAGGTGTGAAATTGTTGGATTATAAAATAGAAAATGAAACAAAATTGGACATGAGTTGATAATATTGAAACTGGTGAAAAGTACATGGAGGTTCTTTTACTTTTCTCTACTTTTGAATATGTTTAACTTTTTTCCTAATTGAATATTATCTCCCTCTCTCTCTTTTCTGTATTCACAGGCAATTATTTAGAATTGAAGGAGTAAAAAGTGTCTTCTTTGGACCAGATTTCATTACTGTCACAAAGGTATATAAAATAAGATTTATGTAGGGTTATTTTAAATAAGATTTGAAGTACTTTTAGTCTTTTCTGAGCTGGTTCCCCTCTCCATAATTCCCATTCTTAATGTGTTTTACACATCCTATTATTAAAAATCTCAAATGAGCTGGGTACAGTGGCACATGCCTGTAATCTCAGTGCTGGAGAGGCTGAGGGAGGCAGATCACAAATTCAAAGCCAGACTCAGCAACTTAGCAAGATCCTGAGGAACTTAATGAGACCCTGTCTCAAAAATAAAAATTAGGACTGGGATGTAGCTCAGTTGTTAGAGTGCTTGCCTTGCATGCACAAGACCCTGGGTTCAATCCCCAACAAAACACACACACACACACAAATAATAATAATAAATAAATATTTAAAAAGAGCTAGGGATGTGGCTTAGTGGTTAAGCACTCCTGCTTAACCACCCCCCGCCCCAAAAAAAATTTCAAATGAAGTTTACATCTTACATTTCTCAATTATTTAAAAGAATTTTCAGATTGAAGTTAAGTATAGTCTAGATCTAATTATAATCCATATGTCCAATTTTTCAAAAGAAAACTTGAGCCTCAACAGATTAGATGCAGTGTCCAAGATTATATAGCTGCCTTATAGCAGGACTCAGCCTTGGCAAGATAAAATTTAGGCTTCCAAGTATTATTTTTACTAATTCTTATCTTAAATTAGTAGAGTTGGAAGAGAAGCAAATAAATAGATATTAAAAAATAAAAAAATTTGTTCGTACAACTTACACAAGTACATATCTTGTAAAAACAAATAAATTGTACATGCATATGTTAGATGCCAGGATATAAATGCCACTTTGAAAGGTGATATATATTCATTCATTCTGTTGATTTATGAAACAAGTTACATATATGTATGCATATGTACAATTCCACCATCCTTCAGTAATACTTCAGAGTTTGATAGAACAATCGACTGTATAATTGTAGCACTTAATTAACCTCTAGATATCACAAAATTAAGCCAAATTTGCTACCCTTTTCTAACTCATGCTAGAAAGGGCTATTCCATTAGTATGTCCACTAGGTTAATAGGAAATTAAATATTGAAATTTGAACAACATGTCCTTTTAAATCTGGTAATTGATGTATGAATAGTGCACTGAATCACTTAACCTAATAGTGTGTCAAAATTAAAAATATTTGCTAAATTCTCCTTAAGCAATTTGAAAAGATTACTCTGGTTTTTAAATTTTATTTATTTATTTATTTATTTATTTTGTACTCAGTATTGAAGCTGGGGATGCTTTACCACTGAGCCACATCCCCAGCCTATTTTTATTTTTTATTTTGAGACAGGTCTCACTAAGTTGCTGAGAGCCTCACTAAGTTTCTAAAGCTGGTCTTGAACTCCTCCTGTCTCAGCCTCCTGAGTCTCTGGGATTACAGAGTTGCACCACCAAGGACCTGGCTCTACTCTGAGTTCTTGATGTGCCTTGAACGTGAACATACTAAGTCCACTATTCTCTTGTAGCTATTTGTGTATTAGGAGAAATGAGATTTTCCTCCTTGGGAGCAATTCCAGTGGTTATGTGTATTCTTGCAAATATCCAATTGTAAAATGTTTTCATCTACAGTTTAAAATATTCTAAATTCCCAGAAAGCCCTTTCTTGACCATCTTCAAGTGACATTCCAGGGGGTTTCATGCACATTAGGCAAGCATTCTGCCACTGAGCTACATTTCCAGGCCCTGATCTCTTTTCTTCCGATACCTTTCTCATTATTGACTACACATTTACCTAGTATCTTCAGTGATCACCTGTTTCCCTTTCTGATTTGTAATTGATAATAAGTTTCTTTACATATCATTTGCTATTTTTTCTGAATGTATATGTGTATTTGCAGCTTATATGCTACTTTTTTTCTTATTCAGATAATTTCAGAATAGTTTTCTTTTTATTACTAATATTTCTCTACTCAGTACAGCCTATTATTTACTGAAGATCTGTGAGAACATTCTCTTCTATCTTCCAAATAATTCATTAAAATATAAACAAGAACTAGTTTATTTTCTCAACCACTGGACATCTCACTTTTTTAAAATTTTTTTTTGGTACTGAGTATTGAACTCAGAGGCATTCTGCCACTGAGCTACATCTGCATCCCTATTTTGTATTTTATTTAGAGACGGGTCTCACTGAGTTGCTGAGCACCTCGGTTTTGCTGAGACTGGCTTTGAAATCGTGATCCTCCTGTCTCAGTCTCCTGAACCCCTGGGATTATAGATGTCCACTACTACACCTGGCCAATTTTATTTTTATATCCACAGCAGCCAGTGTCTTTTACTTTTTGTTTATTGTCTCTAAATTGATTCTTAATCCACAATAAATATAGCCCTTTTATCCTTTTTATCCCATATTGACTTAATTTTTAAGAGTATTCAAGCATAGATTGTAGCTAACAGCATCCTAAGAGTTTAGACTACATTTAATAGGTTCTCCTTAAGAGCTTTCCTTTAAAAAACTAGAACAGACCAGGTGTGGTCCACAAGTCCTCTAATAGATAGCCATGGTTCTACAGTTACATCATTGCACTTCTATAATACTCTTTAAGTATACATTTAAATTGAAATGTTTGAGTAGTCATAAGATGTTCTGTATATCTGATGAGCAGATATATCATGTTTTTCTCTTAAAGATAGAGAATTCATTCAGTGTTTTAATTCTTTTCATATCATGAAAAAATACTTTTTAATCATTTTAATCATTATCCCCTATGTAGTAAAAGCACACTTAAAATTTTGATATGAATGATTGTGGAATATCTTAAAATTGTGTCTTCCGAAAGTCACTAAAGTAATACTTTAAAGAGGTAGAACTTATATGTATTCTGCAAAAATCAGTGTTGCATATTTTAGGATGTAAATTGGAAAAGATTCTTGAGAGATACAAGGTAGTGTTCTGTATTTGTCTTTGCCYTTGGCTGAAAATGTAGCATTTTCCTTTACATGTTTATAGGAAAATGAAGAATTAGACTGGAATTTACTGAAACCAGATATTTATGCAACAATTATGGACTTCTTTGCATCTGGCTTACCCCTAGTTACTGAGGAAACATCTTCAGGAGAAGCAGGTAACATTACTTATGTTGAGTAATTAATATTTATCTATTTTTAGACTTTTATAATTTTTTCACATTTGCCTTGATTCAGAAGTGATAAGAATACAGATTTTTAAAAAATTTTAAAAGATGTTGATGGATCTTTAGTTTATTTATTTATACATGGTGCTGAGAATTGAACCCAGTGCCTCGCACATGCTAGGCAAGCGTTCTACCATTGAGCCATAATCCCAGTCCCAAGAATACAGATTTTTATCATTTAATTTGTTTAGCTCTGCAACCAATACTACAGGGGACAAAACTTCATATGTTTTATTCATCATTTTTAAAAATTTGTGTTTAATTTAATCTATTATACAAAACTATAATTTTCAATTGTAAAAATTTTGTACTTGTAAAAAATAGTATAATGGTCACTATTTTATCCTCCATTCAGATTTAACAAATGTTAACTTTTTGTGTTTGTGTAATGCCAAGGATCAAACAAATATTAACTTTTTGCCATTGTTGCTTGAGATCCATTTAAAATAAAATATTTATAAAAATACAGCTAATGCCCTTAGACTCCCATCTCTTTTTCCTTCCAGATATGTGTGTATAGTTTGTTTTTATATTTTTACAACACACATAAGTCTGAAGGAAATATATAGTATTGTTGTTAGTGGTGGTTTTTAATATTTATTTTTTAGTTGTAGTTGGACACAAGACCTTTATTTTATATGTGGTGCAGAGGATCAAATTCAAAGCCTTGAACGTGCTAGGCAAGCCTCTACCACTGAGCCACAACCCCAACCCCTATAGTATTGGTTTTTGATCCTAAACTATAAGTAACTTATGGTTCACTACAACTTGCCTATTTCATAGAATATAATATTTTTTTAAATAAATCCATTTTAAAAAAGTATCATTCTAGTTTATTCATTTTAAGTGCTGGAGAGTATTCCATTATGTGAATAAACTATAGTTAGCTTGTTCCTTATGTTCAAACAAATTGTTTGTACTAATTTCTGTTACAAATATTTCTGGAGTAGCATCCTTATACAAGTCCTGGAGAGTTTTTTTTAGAGTATGTTCCTAGAAGTGGAATTGCTGTTACCATAAATGCTAATTGACATGCACATGGCTTCTTCTTTTTTTTTTTTTTTTTGTGGTGGTGGTGCTGGGGATCAAACCCAGGGCTTCTTAAATGCTAGGCAAGTGGTCTACCACTGAACTATGCTCCTGGCTCTACTTTTGTTTAAAATCAATATGTTAAATATAAAGTGTTATCTTTTTAAAATTATATTTCTTGAAGCTGGAGTTGTGGCTCAGAGGAAGAGTGCTCACCTAGCATGCATGAGGCACGATCCTCAGCGCCACATAAAAATAAAAAAATAAAGGTCTTGTGTCCACCTACAACTAGAAAATAAATGTTTAAAAACAAATAAATAAATAAAATTATATTTCTTTTATTAATACTGAGCGTGAAGGTTTTCATATGTTTATTAGGCACTAAGTTTCCTTGTCAGTAAGTTTCTTGTACTTTGTCAAGTTTTAAAAATTTGAGTCATGTCTTTTTTTTTTTTTTTTCCTGGTACTCAGGATTGAATCCAGGTGTGCTTTATCACTTAGCTACATCCCCACGATTTTTATTTTATTTTTTTATTTTGAGGCAATGTCTCACTAAGTTGGTTAGGACCTCATTAGGTTGCTGAGGCTGGCTTCAAGCTTGTGATCCTCCTGCCTCTGCCKCCTGAGCCACTGGGATTAYAGGCGTGCACCACCATGCCCAGCGAAGTCATGTCTTTTTGATACTGATTTAAGCAGAATTTTTAAAAATTTGGGGGGCATTAATTCATTGTTATGTATATTCATGACATATAACTTCTTCCTAACCGTAGCTGGGATGTAGCTCAATGGTAGAGCTCATACTTACATTTCATCCCCAGCACTGAAAWAAAGAAGACATCATAAACAAAGTAAAGAAGACCTGCCACATTTTTGGTTTTGTTTTAATTTGCTTGGGGTTGAACCCAGGACCTCATGCATCTATGCACTTTACTACTGAGCTGCATTTTGAGCTCCTGGCTATGTTATTGATGAATAAATATACAAAGTGTATATCAACTTGAGAGTGATTTGACTACATCTACCAAAATTAAAGTACAAACCTAGGTCTGGGAATTTAGCTCAGTGGTAGAGGGAGTATAGAGCAATGCATGTCAAATGATCTCATCTGTGTCAATTTACATATATAAATGTAAATGTGTCCTAGAAGAATTTACACCAAACTAGACAGTGACTGTGAAATGAATGATGATGAATGAAACTTAGGTTTGGTGATGAAAGAGACTTTTAACTTTATATATATATATATATATATATAAAGTATTTATATTTTGGGGTATTTAAATATATATAATAATTTTATATTTTGGGGTATTTAAATATAAATAATACTTAATATTAAATAACATTAACTTTGGGTATTTAAATAGTTTCCAGGAATCTAATGTTTGTTATAGTATAATATGAATTATCTGCATTTTTGGTTTTCCCACGGGTAACTAAATTTCTCTCACAAAGGTGAAAAACTCATAGAAAGGCATGAATGAAGATTAGTATAACTCTACAAAATAAAGCAAAAACAAAATTGAAACAAAATGAAAAAACAACTTTTTACTCAGATTTATACAATGTCAGAAATTTCTAGGGCTGTGGTTGTGGCTCAGTGGTAGAGTACTYGCCTGGCATTTATGAAACACTGGGTTTGATCCTTAGCACCATATAAAAATAAAAATAAAGATATTGTGTCCACCTAAAACTAAAAAATAAATTAAAAAAAAAGAAATTTCTAAAAGGCTTTTATATTAAGTGTGATTATATTTTTGAAAATCACTAAATTGAGAAGCTGAAGATGTAACTTATAAAATAGATATGCTTTTTTTGTCTCAAAATTCAGATAATCTATATTCTCGGCTACTTCCATCTACTTTCAAGAATGATAAAAGTTTTCAAATTTACTGGCGCAAAAATCAAGCCCTAACATAATTAGCAGATCAAGGTATTTCAGTGTACTTGACACTAAATGTTGAGTTGATCAGTATACTTAATTTTTCTTTAGAGAACCAAATGAATGATTCTCTTTCTTTTTGTTCAAAATCAACTATGTCACATTACCAGGTTACATGTTTTATGTTTTTAATGATCCATGAATTTAAAATCATGCTGTTTTAATACTTGAACCTGCATGGATACTAAATTTCTACTATTGATTTTTTTAAAACTCAATTGTTTCTAGGTTCTGAAGAAGATGATGAAGTTGTGGCAATGATTAAGGAATTGTTAGACACTAGAATACGGTATGTACTCTTCTCCCACCTGAATTCAAATGCTGCAGAGGCCATTTTTTATTTTAGAAATGTACTTTTAATTGTCCATGAGATTATAGTAGAGTTCAAAATTAAGTATAAGTGCCAGGTACTGTGGTGCACATCTATAAGCTCAGTGACTTGGGGTGCTGATGCAGGAGGATTGCAAGTTTGAGGTGAACCTCAACAATTTGGTAAGGCCCTCAGCAGCTTAGTGAGACCCTGTCTCATAGTAAAAATTAAAAAGGGCTGGGAATGTGGTTCAGTTGTTGAACACTCCTGGGTTAAATCTCCATACCAAAAAGAAAAGTACAGATTAATGTAAACCACCATAGGCAACCATAACAATTGAACTTAAACCCCATACTAAGTTAAGATTCTTTATATTCACTCAAAAACTTAAAACAATCTATTAAATATTGTGGATGAAGAAATTTCATTCACACCATTTAGGTTTGATGTTGCTATAATCCTCAGATTTCTTAAAAGTTAAAGGACTTAATGTTATTTGGAAGGATTGTGAAGAGAGAAGGAGTACCTGTATTTTAGGCCATAAAGATTAAATTTATTTATTTATTTATTTATTTTATTTTTTTTTTAAAGAGAGAGTGGGGGGAGAGAGAGAGAGAGAGATAATTTTTAATATTTATGTTTTAGTTCTCGGCGGACACAACATCTTTGTTGATATGTGATGCTGAGGATCGAACCCAGATCGCACGCATGCCAGGCAAGCGCGCTACCGCTTGAGCCACATCCCCAGCCCCATAAAGATTAAATTTAAACAAGTAGAGAACAGGGGCTGGGGATGTGGCTCAAGCGGTAGCGCGCTCGCCTGGCATGCVTGCGGCCCGGGTTGGATCCTCAGCACCACATACCAACAAAGATGTTGTGTCCGCCGAGAACTAAAAAATAAATATTAAAAATTCTCTCTCTCTCTCCTCTCTCACTCTCTCTTTAAAAAAAAAATTTTTAAAAAAGGCTAGTTCAAAAAAATTTTTTTAAATTTATTTGAAGGTATTAGAAAGCTGCCAGAGCAACCAAGATTTGAAATGCCACGATCCTGTTGAGAAAGGAAGCTCACTGCAGCTTTCCTTGGGGCATTTGCTGGTTCTTGGTATAAAGCCAGGTATAAGAAGCCGGGCAGAGACAGTTGTCAAGAAACAGAGAAGCTATTGAGTTTCTAGAAAATTTGTTTAGATACGACAAAAATTAAAATTTTAGGTTACCAGTGAAGTCTTGATTTGAAGGGCCAAGATCCCAGAGAACAGGGACACTAAGGAAAGTAAGTTCTATGTAGTTAATAACAATGTATTGTGTTTTTGAAAATCACTAAGAGTAGATTTAAAAAAATTTTTTAAATTTTTTTTTTGTTGTAGATGGACACAATGCCTCTATTTAATTAATTTTTTTTTTAATGTGGTGCTGAGGATTGAACCCAGTGCCTCACACATGCTAGGCAAGTGCTCTACCACTGAGCCACAACTTTAGCCCCCAAGAGTAGTATTTTAAGTATTCCCACCACAAGTATGATGTGAGGCATGTGTTAGTTATCTTGAGTTAGCCATTCTGCATTGTATACATATTTCAAAACATCATGTTGTAAACTATAAACATATGTACACTTCATCAACTAAAAATAACTAACTTAAAATAGTAGATGTAAACCTAACACTCAGGTTCTTCCTGGATGGCACCTGCTCATTCTTAGCTGTGTAAGGTAGAGGCTAAGAAGTCAAATAAAAGGCAGTTGGGAAGCAGAGTTAGGGCAGTTTTATAGTGCTGGAGTAGGAACAAAGACTATGGTTTAGGATGTGAGCTTCAAGAAATATTTAGACTCTTGATTGGGCTTTTGTATGTGTGTATGTGTGTTTGGTGCTGGGAATTGAACCCAGGGCATCAGGCATGCTGGGCCAGTACCTTACCACTGAGCTACAACCCCAGTCCTTGGTTGGGCTTCTGGGAAAACTAGAGCCTTGAAATGGGGCAAACCATGCTTACAGAACTGTAGTCCAGTATTGAATTAGTTTAATTCTATTAGACTGAGATGTTGCTGGAAAATATGATGAGTCCTTTCTGATATAATATAATCCTGAGTTGCTAGTATCCATCATTCAGTCAAAAATTACTAGATATACCTTGAAACCAGACCAAGAAGAAATAAAACAAAAAATTTAAAAAAAAACAAATATGTCAAGATCATTGTATTGTCTTGAACAACTAATAAAAAAACAGTAGATAACTCTAATATCTAGATAACCTAGATATTAGAATTATCTACTGGTTTGAACTGAGGGCGTTACTCAGGCTAGGCAAATGCTTTACCACTGAGCTACCACCCCCACGTCTTATAAATTAAATTTTATTTTATTTTGGTGCTAGGTATTGAACTCAGAGGCAGTTTATCATTGAGCCACATACTCAACCCTTTCTGAGACAGGGTCTTGATAAGTTGCTGAGGGCTGCCCTTAAACTTGCGATCCTTCTGCCTCAGCCTTCTGARTTACTGGGATTACAGGTGTGTACCAGCATGTATGGGCTCAGACCTTTTTAAAATATTTTGGTTTGAGATAGAGTCTCCTAAATTTCCCAAGCTAGCCTCAAACTTACATCCTCCTGCCTCAGCCTCCCAAGTGGCTGGGATTACAGGTGTGCATCACCATATCCAGCTGAATTTGTTCATTACATTAATGAGCAAAGACAATTTAAAATGTTTTTATTAAGAAACTTTTCAAAAAATGTGGATGTGTAACCGATGTGATTCTGCAATCTGTATTTGGGGTAAAAATGGGAGTTCATAACCCACTTGAATCTAATGTATGAAATATGATATGTCAAGAGCTTTGTAATGTTTTGAACAACCAATAAAAAAAAGAAAAAAAAAGAATCTTTTCAATGTCATGTACAACCAGAAGAATGAGAAGTTGTACTCCATTTTATGTATGATGTATCAAAATGCTTTCTACTGTCATGTATAACTAATTAGAACAAATTAAAAAAGAATAAAAGAACCTTTTCAAACTTACACAAAAAGTACAGGAAAGTGGAGAAAGTAGCATACCATTAGTGATTTCTTTGGGGGCTTTAAAAATTATCCATGGAATGACCATCCTTAGTTGCATTACAAATATTTTAAGACACACCTTACATTGTTAATATGTTAATCTTATCAACTGAATAACTTCTTTTAATTTTTAAAGGATGTAGAAATTAAGTTTTGCAAGATGAAAATAATTTTAGAGACTGGCTGCACAATAATGTGAACTAAACTTAAAAATGGTTAAACATAAAAAATGAATTTCATGTGAATTTAGACACTTTTTTAAAATTTTCAGTGCTAGGGATCAAATGCAGGGCTTTACATATGTTCAGCAAGTGTTCTACCACTGACCTACATACCCCAGCTCCATAACCACAATTTTTTTTGGTGTATTATAATTATACATAATAGATTCATTGTACATATTTATACATGCACACAATGTAACAAATATAATTTGATCAATTTTATTCCCTAGTACTTACCTTTTGCTGCAGTCCGGCTGCAGCAAAATATCTGGGGGGTGACGAGCAACTTGTGTAGACTGATACAGCAGGAGTGGGAGCCGTTTATTGTAGGACTGGAGTGGTATTTATACATTCCACACAGCTTATCTTAATTAGCATAAACTAGATACATCAGTCAACCAATAAGGAATCTCCACACTTAATGGCTCGCTCGAGTTACTTCACAAACCACTCCCTCTGGCAATATGCCAGGCGCCATCCAGACTTGTTTATAGACTCTAACATTTGCCAGGCGCCATCAGACTTGTTAACAGACTCTAACACCTTTTCCCTTTCCTCCTGATTCCCTTCCTTTTACTAGTCTCCCTTCTGTTTTCATGAGACCCCACCCACCCACCTGTTTTTTCCTTTTTTTTAACCCTAGCTTCTGCATATGAGAGGAAACACAGGACGCTTAACTTTCTGAGTTTGGCTTATTTCCCTTAACATAATGCTCTCAAGTTACTTCTGTTTTCTTGGAAATGGCATAATTTCATTCTTCTTTATAGCTGAATTAACTTCATTAAACTCCATTAAGAGAGAGAAAGTAAAAAGATGTAAAAATCTATAGCATTCAAAAAATGAATAAGAGAAAGCCAAACAGATATCAGACAAAATGTGCCTTACAGCTTAAAACATTACTATACATAAAGAGAGATCTTTGATTTCTATCAGGAATATATACTAATCTAAAACCCTAATAACATGTTCTCAAAATAAATGAAGAATATCTGACAAAACAGAAGGAGATATACCTCACAATCATGATGGGAGACTAACACTGTTCTCTGGGTAGCAAATAGAACAACACAAAAAATAATCAGTTAAGATATGAGAGTTTCAAACACAAGATTAGCAAAAACTTTGCCCAAATTGTTGACATATATAGAATGCTGCACTCAACAGAAATATTTATTCTTTTCACATGTACAGGGGACATGTACTAAAACAGACTACATGAGGGATCATGAAGCAACCCTTAACAGATTTCAAGGATTGAAATCATTGAAAATATTGGGGGGTTTGTGGGTCTTTTTTTTTCCTGGGGATTGAACCCAATGCCTTGTGCATGCTAAGTACATGCTGTACCACTGAGCTACACTCCAGCCTGAGAATATTGTTTATTGACTGCATTAGGATTAAATTAGACATCAGTTACTAAAACATAATGGCAAAACCTCCATGTATTTGGAAACTAAGCAGTGCTTTTCAAAAAGACATGTGGATTGGGCTGGGGCTGCTCCTCAGTGGTAGAACAAAAGAAAATAGGTACATAAAATTGAGAAAAAAAAACTATATCAATCAGACTGCAGTAAAATTATGACTTTTTCTTCATCAGAAATGTAATTTACAGTGAAAAGACAAAATACAGAATAGAAGATAATTATATAATATATATGTATAATATATATAATATATAATTATATATAATAGAAGATAATTATAATTTATGACAGGATATATAAAGATCTACAAATTGTCAAGAAAAAGATAATCAGAAATTGATGTAGGCATCTTACAGAAGACAATAACCAAATGGTTACTAAACATGAAAAAAGTGTTTTAAACTTAAACCACAATGAAATAGCACTAAAATCCACTAGAGTGGTTAAAATGATGGACACTAGCTGGTGGGAAAGTTTAAAATAGTGTCTTTCAGTGTCTACTAAATACTTACACTCTTGACCCAGCAATTTTGCCTTTGGGTATGTTCCAAAAGACATTTAAAAGAATCTTCATAGGTATACTATTTATAAAAGCCAAAAATTGGTATTAACCCAAATGTCCATCAACATTAGAATGGATAATAAATTCTAGCATATTAACTTAATGGAAAACCATGCAGCAATGAGATTGAATAAACTGCTACTATACTAAACATGAATGAATCTCACAAAGAGAAAAAGAAGCCAGATACAAAAGAATAAAATCTCTGTGATTTAAAATAGAATTTATAGGACTGGGGATGTGGCCCAGTGGCAAAGCACTTGCCTAGTATGTGTGAGGCCCTGGGTTCAATGTCTACCTCTGCAAAAAAAAAAACRGGTCTATCTTAAGTCATCACAATACTTACTAGGAAATTTCACATTTTAAATGCTTAAAGTTTATTAATAAGCAGCAAAATTAGATGTAATGAGTAAATATTTGTTGTGAATGAATTTTGGCATTTTATTTGCAAGTTTAAAAAATTAAAACTAGAAATAAGACTTAACCACAATTATTATTAACTATTGTAAAAGTTACTCTAACTTTGTGAAGTTTACCAATATAAAATCTAAGTCTAAGCTGTATCAAATTTTTCCAGTAAAAATTTCTGTTCTTAAGTGTATCACCAATACATCTGTGATCACAGGCCAACTGTGCAGGAAGATGGAGGAGATGTGATCTATAAAGGCTTTGAAGATGGCATTGTACAGCTGAAACTCCAAGGTTCTTGTACTAGCTGTCCCAGTTCAATCATTACTCTGAAAAATGGGATTCAGAACATGCTGCAGTTTTATATTCCGGAAGTAGAAGGTGTAGAACAGGTATTTTGAGAGTTTGGATTTCATTTTAAGATTCATGGGAAAAGAAATCTATGACCTGACTCTGTCTTCAAGGGCAAGATCTTTGCAACTTCTATGACTTAAAAATTTTTTATTTTATTATTCATTTGTTTAATCATTTTATTAGATAAATAAATAAAATTATTTTTATTTTATTAGAGCATTATAGTATTTGGGTTCATTTTGACAAAATCATACATGCATGGCATTTGATTTCAATCCCCTATTCTTCTTCCTCTACTGATCTTCCTTTCACTTATTTATTTATTTATTTATTTTTATTGGTACTTTCTACATATACATAAAGATGAAATTCCCCAAGGTATATTTATTCATGCATATAATGTMATTTTGTTAAAATCATTCCTTATTTCCTTCTCTTTCCTGTCCCCCCTCCCTCCTCCCTCCTCTTCATCTCCTTCTATTCCACTGATCTTCCTTATATCTTTATGATATTCAATCCCAGCCCCCATCTTCTTTTCCTTATTTTGTTCTAGCTTCCACATAGGATAAAAAGCATTCAACCCTTGGTTTTTTGTTCTGGCTTATTTTACTTAGCATGATTTTCTCCATTTTCATGCATTTATTGGCAGGTTATTTTATCCTTCCTTATGGCTGAGTAAAACTCCTTTATGTGTGTGTATGTGTATGTGTATGTGTGTGTGTGTGTGTGTGTGTGTGTGTGTGTGTATTTGGACATCTGAGTTGATTCCATAATTTGGCGATTGTGAATTGTGCTACGGTAGACATTGAAGAGGCTGTATTGCTTTAGTATGCTGATCTTTAGTTCTGTTGAATAAATACTAAAGAGAGGAAGAGCTGGGTCATATGTGGTTCCATTCCTAGTTTTTTGAGGAATCTCTACAGTGCTTTCCATAGTGGTTGTACTAATTTGCAAGTCCCACCAACAATGTATGACTGTACCTTTTCCGCCACATCCTCRCCAGCATTTATATATTTTTTGTGTTCTTGGTAATTGCCATTCTGATGAAAGTGATGAAATCTTAGGGTGGTTTTGATGTGCATTTCTCTGATTGCTAGAGATGTTGAATATTTTTTATATATTTCTGACCATTTTTGTTTCTTTTTTTGAGAAATGTGTGTTTTGTTCTTTTGCCCATTTATTGATTGGGCTATTTGTTTTATTGGTGTTAAGTTTTTTGAGTTCTTTATACTCTGGATAGTGTCCCCTAGCAGAGGAGTAGCTGGCCAAGATTTTCTCCCATTCTGTATATTCTCCCTTTATGTTCTTTTTTTTTTTTTTTGAGCCATAATTCATCTTTATTTATTTCTTTTTTCTTTTTTTATTGTTGGTTGTTCAAAACATTACATAGTTCTTGATATATCATATTTCACACTTTGATTCAAGTGGGTTATGAACTCCCAT